AAAAAAAAAAAACGGTAACCTGGTTGCCGAGTTCACGAAGTGAATTGGCTTGTTTTACAACGTCCTTGCCAAGCGACGAAAACCCACTCCCGATGGCAAACACCGGGGGGGGCGGCTTGTTTTACAACGTCGTTGCCAAGCGACGAAAACCCAACCCCGATGGCAAACACCGGAGGGGGGGGGGCACACAAAAACTATTCTTCGCCGAAGCATGGTGAAATGAGAACTCCCGTCGCGTTACTCGCATTTGCCGTTCACGGAATATTCCGAGCACGAAACGCGAGCGACACGCATCACTCGCCGCGCGTGTCTAAAAGCCAACTTGTCGTCAAACCAGTTTTTAAGGTTCCATCAACAGTGGACCATGGGGTGAACGGCAAGTGATAGGACAAGCAATCCAAGAAGATGATGAAGAGCGTTGATGAGCATGGCAGAGCCGGTGTGAATCTGGTATACGCTCATGAGTCTACAGGAGTGTCGATTCTGCCTGCATTCAGGTATTTTTTGTATTTTTCGGAAGCGAATCAACGCCGCGGTGTTGTGTTCGCCGGTCATGACTAGGCCACGGAAGGATGAAAAAAAACACAACGTCGGGAGGATCCCGTGGGCGTCCTGTGACTACATCTCTCTTTACGCTTGTCTCCCATCACAACCCACAACCCCCTCTCCCGCCCCACCCACCTTTTCGCTTAGATTGTTGATCATAAATCTCGGCCCAGGAACTGACACTCGTGTGGGGTTAATACAACTCCATTCCATCTCTCACCCTAAGTCTCTTCTTCCCTCCCCTCCCCTCACCTCTACCCCAGCCGCCAGCACAAGGGGGCACCATGAGCAATGAGATATATCTTTCATGCAGCACTGCCCTCCGCTGGCTGGTCAGCCTAGATATTCATCGGTATCGCGGCGCAAAACGCAAGGAAGCACTCAAACATACACGCACGCACCCACCTACGCAAAACACACTGGTGTAATGCACCTCTAGATCGTCGTTCAGCCAAATCACCAAAAGGTGATGGAGTACTCCCTTGAGCAGCACGAACAACGTGTACCCAACCCGCCCACCTTTCTGTCCCCTCTACACAAAACAATGGCTTAGACTAGACGTCGTGTTGTCACCGCGATGTCACGGATGCCTGGGAGAAGCATACGGCGCTGGACGTCCATACATGCTTCGAATCACGCATTCCACGAAGCGTTGTTTCCCTATACAGCGTTGCAACACTGTGAACCGGGCGTATTAGCGCTGCACGAATCAAGGTTATCCCTGTTCTTGCGATGAGCATCGCCAACGACATTTGCAAGCACACACAAACCCATGCGAACATTGTGATACTGCAATCGAAGGCGTTTGCAACGCTGACGTATACAACATCGAAGGCTAAACTGGGGTGATTTCTGAATCACAGCAACTAGCGCAAGCAAGAGCAACCAGTATCGAGCGGCGACACCTGATATTGAAGGTTTGCTTCAAATTATCAAAAACAAAACGCAGTGCAACAAGATAACGCCGTTGTGAACTCACAGACCCAACATTCTTTGCACGACTTTTTTGAAACGGGATTCAGTTGTTGCCGGAATAACTATCTACCACGCAAGCTGCTGGCATCATTTATGCCACACTATCGCCCATGCATGAACGGCAACTAAAATATTTGCCATCTGACGCAAAAAAAAAAAACATTTTCGAGGGATGAACACAAACAAGAACACTTCTGCCCACGTTTTTCGCAACACGTACACTGGCAAAACCTGTTCCTCTGAACCCCCTCCATTGCACCCAAACTGCATGCAGCAATCGTACCGGAAGAAAGACCCTTCTGCAACATGCAAAAACGTCCGACCTACTTTGATAGGAAACATGAGCGCGCCTTAGCGGAATACAAAGTACCGTCAAACTTCGTTCCTCTAGCCCTTGCGCGTTTCTCGCATTTCTTCTTGTTCTTGGCACCCGTCCCTCGCCAGCATCGACCCGATCGTGGCGCCAGCTAGACGATCAGGTCGGCGCGACACCGGCGTCAAGCACCGTGCGTCAAAGAGCGGCAGCACGAAGCAAGGCTACAGGACGCCGAAACACACGTCGTGGAGATTGATGTGTTCCCCCCGTGCTTGTTCGCCGAAGAAAATAGGGCCCAGGTGTGGATCCGGGACAGCGGGGATCCCCGGCCGATGAGCGGTGCGCTGCTGCTGCTGCTGCGACGCCGGATGCGAATTTGGCTGCTCTTGAGCGGCGGCCAACTCACCGCAAACACCGAGGCAGTGGACAGCAGCACCGTTCCCGCCGCCGCCGCCGCCGCCGCCGCCGCTATCACCGCACCCGGTACTGGGCTCCCTGCCGGGCGCACCACCTCCACGCGAGGGATAGTACGGGGCCGCCAAATGGTCATCGTTAACCTGGTTGTCCGGCGGGTTTTTCGAACGGTAAAGGTGCTGTCAGCAGGGGCTTAGAAGCGGGACTGCGTGAAGCGGGTGGAGCCGAACCGGGGACCGGACCAGCAAATGAGGCATGAACATTTTGAAGGGATTGCCAACTGCCTCCGATTTGATCTCGAACGAAAGAAGCCGACGACGGCAGAGCAGGGCAGCCGCAATACCTCAGCACGGAGTTTCGCTCACCATCGGGTTCGACGAGGAACCTCGACCGGCGAGCTGTGATCGTGCGGAATTTTCGGTATGGTGAAGAGAACCGCAACACAACACCGTTCCGTCGCGTTGGTGACTCGCGTCATTCGCGTGTGGGTTTGTACTCACACGTTGTTGCCCCTTTCACTTACACTTATTAGGACCGATAATATCCTGAACAATTAGCTTGACCCTAACGATCTTGCGCACAGAAAGCTGTCTTGTAGCGGGAGGACTGTTTCCCACGCGAAATTCACAACTTTGTTCTCGTTGATATAAAAAACTTCTTCCCCCCCACAGATTTCCAATGTCGACACCGACGCCAGAACGAAGTACACCATCAAATATGTGGGAACGGAGTAAACCCCGAGTCGGCGGGGGTCGTCGGGGCCAGTGTAGAGAACGGCGACAACCAACGGCTAGATTTCGACGTGGGCTCTCTACCGACACACTCTCAACGGAACCCGGGCAGCGGAGCACCACGTTCGGAAAGCAGGGAACAATGGCTACACTAGGATCGCAGGAGAAACTCCCATTTCGAAGCACAGAAGAAGCTGTGCTTATGTAAGAGAGCCCATCCTCTACGCGCAGGGCTCGTTCCCTGCACGCCCACCTGGTGAAGATGCCGGACAGCTTCAACCTCCGCAAGGTGCCACTGAGCGTAGGCCTCGATCTGGAGCGGGCTGCGAGAGGGCACAAAGATTCCGATGGCGTCACAGTTTCCATAACCGTACACCTCCAGACCGCGAAGAAATCCTTGGTGCTCCACGTCCGTCCACGTTCCACAGTTGAAAGGGACCCTTGTGATTCGGGTTTGACACAAGGGTCATGAGATCGGACGAAACAACAACGTCAGAAGTTGTTCGGAGTATCGCAATCTGGTACTCGAATGGACAATCGACATGGTTCATGTAGGTGGGCGAGTCCCTCCCAACATCACGTCGAACCGGGGAAGGATAGTTCGATCGACGCTTCCATGGTGTACTCCGCACAAGGGGTCTGGCTGCGGCTAGATAATCATCCATCGTCCTATCCGTGATAAAAGGGATCCTAAGATTTTTCCCAACCGTGGCACGGGAGAGAGCAGGTAGTCTGCAGTAGTAGCTTCGACGGGTTCCTACCCTTGGGCAGAGTGCGGGCGTGCGGGGAGCGCCGAATATTTTATGCCACCTCCTTCCCGCCAGAATTCCGGTCAAGCTAGGCTTTGGAGCCGTGTCGCAATTCGTTCGCTATACGTTTCGGACACCACAACCATAAGGTACAGATGTTCCACGAAACAAAGCAACTGTTCAGAAGCATGATCACCACTAGACCACCAGTCAGTGCTGACTAGTGGTCCAGTGGTGATCGTGCCCCAGGGTTTCCGTCCCTGTCATCAGCGCTGCCTTGCCCGGGAATCGCCATCGGTACAAGAGGTTCATCAGCTTGGTTTGCGAAGCCTACTTCCCCAGACGTTTTCTTTTTCATAAGTTCGGGAGCAAAGAGATTTATGCTCGAGAGGAGACTTGATTGTTGAGAAGCACGATCACCACTAGTCCAGTAGTCTTCAATGGTTGCTGTTGAGGAGCACGATGACCACTACCGTAGACCACACCAGTTAGCGGCTGACTAGTGGTCTAGTGGTGATCGTGCTTCTCAACAATCAAATCTCCTCTCGAGCATAAATTTCTTTGCTCCCGAAGTTATGAGAAAGAAAAANTCGGTACAAGAGGTTCATCAGCTTGGTTTGCGAAGCCTACTTCCCCAGACGTTTTCTTTTTCATAAGTTCGGGAGCAAAGAGATTTATGCTCGAGAGGAGACTTGATTGTTGAGAAGCACGATCACCACTAGTCCAGTAGTCTTCAATGGTTGCTGTTGAGGAGCACGATGACCACTACCGTAGACCACACCAGTTAGCGGCTGACTAGTGGTCTAGTGGTGATCGTGCTTCTCAACAATCAAATCTCCTCTCGAGCATAAATTTCTTTGCTCCCGAAGTTATGAGAAAGAAAAAGTCTGGGGAAGTAGGCTTCGCAAACCAAGCTGATGAACCTCTTGTACCGATGGCGATTCCCGGGCAAGGCAGCGCTGATGACAGGGACGGCAACCCTGGGGGGACGTGTTCGTGGCTGCTAAGCCAGACCGGACACGGGCATAAACTTTTGTTGAGAAGCAAGATGACCTCTAGACCATCAGTCAGCCGCTGACTGGTGTGGTCTACGGTAGTGGTCATCGTGCTCCTCAACAGCAACCATTGAAGAGTGAGTGTGCCAAGTTGTTGTTGTTGTTGTTGTTTCTCACATTAGCTCTAAAAAAGAAAGATTGCGAGCCCGTGGTCTCAAAACCCGGCATACACGACCCCACGAAGAAACAGAAAAAAAACAGGGTGGTCAAGTGTGGGAGTATTGTTGACGTTGTTGGGAAGCTTCCGGCGGTCCCATGGATGCACCGCCGCACCGACTGGGGCGGCAATGAGTCTGTAGACGGTCCACAAGGGTTAAGTCTATTAATCATTAGCAGCAGGGAGGGTGGGTGGTTTCAAATATTACTTGTTCAGTCCTACGGTACACGGTGTTCTCTCGTACTGACTGGTATTCACAGTGGGTGGAAGAAGAACTGATCGGCTGAATGCATACTAGGGAGGAGTAGCCCCCCGCTCCCCAATGGGGCGGGCGGCCAGACGCCGGTGGAAGCATGTCGGCATTGCCTCGAAACGAACGTACAATACAGAAATAGTCGCATGTTCAATATGAGTGTTGACACTGATAAGAAAAGGTGATGCCGATGTGTACACTGTATTCGGGTTGGACCAATCTCCCACACTACCGACAGTTCTGATAAACCGCCCATGGGCGGTAAAGCAAAACTAACTGTACAAAGTGTGGGAGACCCGGTTGGAGACCCGGTTGGACAGACAGCAGTGTCCCACCACAGGACATGTTCCGACGGACTCATTTGATCTGACCGGGACTGACCATGCACGATGTGCACAGAAGTCTGCCAGTATAGTCTACAGCAGTTGTCGGTGTCCACCCTTTGAAGAACGGGAGTCATTCGATAGAGCTTCAAGCTGACTTAAGTGATGAAAAATGTTATTCAGTCATTGTAGAATTGAAGACAAGTCGGAGGGCTCTCCTCCTCGTATCTGTGACAGCAATCTCCAGGGACGGACCCCTCGCAAAGCTGAGTTATAACAGTACTTACGCAAATGCAAAAGGTGCTTCTAATGTAGTGATCCGGCCCTGATTCGAACCCTTGGGAGGAGGAGAGCCCTCGGACATATCTGTTCATCAAACATAGTCTAGAGAGGCTAAACCATTAGATCACTAAGCCAGCTGATTGAATGGCCTAATGGTTTAAGCTTTATCGATCAAGGCTGGTATCCATGAGAAAACTGCTTATTGCTATAGTCGGCGGCTGTCTATGCAAGTCTTGGCTCTCAGCCATCCCAGCTGGGTCAGTGAGTGGAAGGAGTACGGGTCTCCGGGGCCGAACCCCTCGCCGTGCCGAAGGAAATTCTGCAATTAATTTTGCTGACGGACAGCCAAATATATTGTTGGCCTTCTTGTCGAACAGAGGATGCGCTCACCGCTTTCAAATCCCAGCTGGATGACTTTCGAAGCACCATAACAGTAGTTCTATTTCCGGCTGCGCCTGGCGAAGGGGTCCGTCCCCGGAGATCCCTACTCACTGATCCAGCTGCAAGGCTACGAGCCGAGAGTTTTGATAGNCATTTTTGCCTATGGTTTTTCTCAATGGATGATGTTCTAGGCTGGGGGGCAACAAGTTCACTGAAGTTCGAAGAAGTATAACTGGTATGATCGGGGATGGTTATTGATGTCTAGCCAATGAGGCTATTGTTCTAGAGTTGAGTGGAGTTTCTGATTTTATTTTCTTGTGTTTTGGAGTTATTGAGGATCGAAAAAGACATGGCATGGTCACAAGCAGGGGGGCTGATAGATATACTTGTAGCAATGCCAAGTGGTTGTAGGATTGTGTGGTACGTGGAATGTATTTCCAGGGTGTGCAAGGTACCCCTGTTGTATACTACGTCGCCCCCTCATGGTGGTGCGTACACGCGTGTGTGAGTTCATGTGAGTTCATGTGAAGGAGAAGTTTATGCAACAAACCCTACACGTCTTTCCTCCTTGGCGCGAGTTCGCCGAGTTGCCGACACCCTATTCAACACACGTCTTGCGACAAGCTACCCCCAGTTCGGATCATCCTAACACGCTAGCGTGCTGATATCATACGGGATCCCGAGGTGAGGCTAGCTATAAAAGGGTCGGCTAGAGAAGTAGATTATGGAGGAAGCCCTCGACCTCAGCAGCTATACTGAGGAGGATCGCCAAGCATTAGCGGCGCACATCAAAGAGGAGGTGGAGAAGAAAGTACAACAGAAGATGAAAGAACAAGAAGAAAAGCGTCCCGCTTCAGAGAGCGTGGACATGCCCCCCGATGGAGGCGATCCCCGGCATGCTCGGCCGGCTGGAACAGCGTTGAACCCGCAACCTGAAGACCAGCCACGATCGTTGGAAGACCGTCTCGTTGATTCGTTCGCACGGGCAATGCGAAGGACCAACACCCCGGGGGAGGAAACCAGGGAAGTCGTAACCCCTAAGGACACCATCCGTGTCAGCCCTGTAATACATGTAGCCCCATTTACGGGTGTGTTAGATTCCAGTGGCGATGTTCAAGTTAGAGTACAGGTGTTTGAGAGCCAATTTCGAATGCTGTTGCAACAAGAAGATTGCCTGAATGCAATAGTATCAGAAGAGACAATCAGGGTGGGGAAGTCGGATGCAGACATTCCCAAACTGAAGGAGGAGTATGGTAGGAAGGCCGTAGAGAAGGCCATGAAGGCCTGGCAGTTAATACTGGCAAAGATTCAAGTTGCATCGATCGTACCAGCAATCATCTCTAGTGGTTGCCCAACGGAGTCATGGCGAATATTTCGAAATCATTTTCAAGTGCATGCCCACACAGAAAAGACGAGCCTCCAGCTAGAGTGGCAGGAGTTGACGCAAGGGGTTCAACAACACCCGAAAGAGTACCTATCGAGAGGGTGGGTGCTGAGGCAAAGGCTATCATCTTGCGGAGTGACAATTACAGAGGATGATGCTAACAGACATCTTGTGCGCAACCTCCTCCCCGAATATGATGTCTACACAGGTTTTCTGATGTCCGAGAGCGGTCTAGAGAAGGAGAGAGTAGAACGGATTATAGTGAATGCTTGGGCGGAGATGGAGGCGCGAAGGAAGAAGAAGCAGGAGAGCGTGGGGGCTTATGCCCTCGTCACTGGCGGTGAGAACCGTAGTGGCGGGGGAGGGAACACGGGGGGACCGGGGAAGACGAGAGGACAACGGAGGACGGCAGCGCGGGAACAGAAGCAACAACCGCAGCAGCCACAGCATCATCATCAGCCGTACTTCAACCAGCAGCAACAGGTATACCTGCCGTCGTACCCGCCTGAAATAAAATATTGCGACCTCCACAACTCCCCGTCCCACAGCAACGAGGAATGTCGCTTGCAGCGGGGTTGGGGAGGTCCCTCGGGCGGCCAAGGTGCGAGCTACGGCGGAAGGCACGGGCCCCAGCATGGGGGCCGGGGCTTTTCTGGAGGAGGACGTCATCAGCAGCAGCCGGCAGGAGGAAGATTCGGGGGACGTGGCGCCGCTTCCGGTGGGAGGGGCAGGGGCCCTTTTCACCAGGGATCGCCCGGCAGCAACCTCCCCGCCTACCCTGTACCTCAGCAAGGCTACGACTACAGCACCTACCCCCCCAACATGTACCGCCCACAGGGAAATGAACCTCCCATCCACCCGAATGACCCTCGCAAGCGGTGTGAGAACTGCGGTGAACTCGGCCACAACCACCTTTTTTGCCCTTCGCGTGTTGATGTCGGAAGGCCAGCTGGCATGCCGGCAGGCAACGCGCCGCCCAGGCACCCGCCGCCCCGGCCGCCGGCCGGTGGTTACAGCCAGCGGCCGCCTTGGGCACACTCGTATGGGCAGGCAAATACGGCGCAGCAATACGGCGGAGAGGGTTACCCGGGGGTAGCGCCAGGAGCAGCAGGAGCGACGGCGGTGGCGACGACAGCTCCATCTACAGGGGCGCATGCGGTGACGCACGTGAGCGGCGTTTACCAAAATCCGGTGACGCACGCGAGCGGCGTTTACCATTACTCGCCCCAACAGCAGCAGCCGGAATACCTTTCCCCCCCCGTGCAACAGCAGCAGCCCATCCCCAACCCGTACGCTCCTCCGGCGCCTTCGACCGGAGCGTCTCCATCGACTGGTGGGGATTTACATGCGTGTGTGGTGTGGGCTTTTCCAAGTGAGTCTGAAAATGGAGTGCTAGTAGAGCGAAGGGACGACGGATATGCAATGATGAACGTCCTTGACGAGAGTGTAGGAGACGAAACTTGGCTTGCAGACTCTGGCGCCACGAACCACACCACAGGTGACCCGAGGTGCATGTACGATGTGGTGATTCCTCCGCCTGGTAGGGAGCGAGTGATGATTGGAGATGGTAGGACGATGCCTGTGCTTGGTATCGGCAGCCTGAATGTCAAGTTCCACAATGGTGGAAGCGATTTTTGCGTGAAGCTCACCAACGTGCATCACGTTGAGGGAATGGGTTACAATTTGTTTTCGCTCCACAAGGCCATGGGAGGGCAACGAATTAAGATGGATCCTATAGGTATCCACCTGTTTAACGGTGAATTAACTTTTCCCCGTGGCGAGCGCGGTTCATCCTTGAGAGCGACTCGTCTACCGCCCGATTACACGACGCCAATTGCTGTGCCCGTGATGACGCCGTTACCCCCGCCTCCCCCTCGCTCTGGAGACGTTGTGAGTGTGACTGGTGTTGCAACAATGCATGCAATCCCCCGCATGCAGCATTCTCCCCAAGGTGTAGCGTACATGCCCTCTTCCTCGTTTTCTCGTTTCCCGCCCACTGTCGCCAGCGCCGGCAGTGTAGTACCTCCAACGGTGTCTAGGTTCCCGCCCACTGTCAGCAGTGTCGTGCTTCCATCCGCTCCGACGAGCGTTGTGCCGACCCCCGTCTCTGGTTTCCCGCCCGCTCCCAACAGCGTAGTACATTCTGGTGACACCGCCCACAGATATGCCCCCGTGTCGAATTTTCCGCCCGCTGCAGCCGGCATAGTACCTTCCACGGTGTATGGTTTCCCGCCCGCTGCAAACAGCGTAGTGCCATCGTCTGTGATCAATATCCCGCCCGCTGCGAGCAGCGTCGTTCTTTCGACAGTGTATGCCCCCTCCCCCGCTGACAGGAGTGTGGTTTTTCCCTCCGCTCCTCAAGTGCCGCATGGTATGGAGTTGGTAGCTGTTCCCGGGTTGCCATCGCCGGACGTCACCGTTTTTCAAAAGAATAGTGAGGATGATGACCGTGGGTTTATTCCGTTCACAGAGCAGGGAGATTACGAGTGGGCTTTGTACCTCTTAGAACAAAGACAAGAATCGGATGACCCCTACGAGTTTTTAGACTTGATGTTTGAGTCTGGATTTGCCAATGTCTTCGATGATGTTGCTTTCGCCGTTCCCGTTATGGCCCCGGGCAAGCGCCCTTTTTCGGTGGGGAAACCCACCAAGATTATTGACGTTAACCTTCTCCATGTTTCGTCCTCCCACGCCAATGAGTTTCTTTTGCGTGAGCTTGCGAAGCAGCACGGTCTCCGACTGACCGGTGTCCTGCAGCCTTGTGGTGGATGCCTGCAGGCGAAGGGGAAGAAGGCGGGCGTGCCTCACCAATTGGGCACGCGCGCGGAGCGGCCGCACGATCTTTGGCACATCGATCTGTGTGGGCCGATGACGGCCTCGCTGGGGGGTTCGTTTTTCATGATTATGTTCGTGGACAGCTTCTCGCGGTGGATGAAGCTGTACGGGATGAGGCGCAAGTCGGACACCCTCGCCTTCGTCAAGAAGTTCCTCGCCGACATGAGTGGCACCGGTGTCCCTCGTTCTTTCCGGATGGACAACGGGGGGGAGTTCATCGGACGCGACTTCATCGCCTTCTGTGACAACGCCGGCATCCGCCGTACGTACACGGCGCCGGGCACCCCGCAGCAGAATGGTCCGGCGGAGAGTGCGATCTGGCGCGTGAACAAGGCCGGCCACGCCGCTCGTCTCGAGGCACCCCGCCTGTTCCCCAAGATCGACTTCACCCGCGTCCCCGGCTTCGGGCGCGATGGCGAGCGACTCTGGCTAGAATCGTGTCACTGGGCTGCCGGCGGCTTCAACCGTTCTCCGACCAAGGCAAACGTCGGGTACAAGTCGCCGCACGAGCTCTTCACCGGTCGCCCGCCCCCGCTACAGATCGTCCCGTTCTTGCAGCCGTGGTATATGCGTGTGACGCGCGCGCGGAAGATGGATGCCCAGGCAGTGCTGTGATGCTACCTCAACAACGGCGACAACCATCACGAGTCGG